GCACATCTTCTGCAGGCAAGCGGGACAGGGTGTCGGCGACGCAGTTGTCTTCACCCTTGATATATTTGATGTTAAAAAATCGTACTGCACGAGCAATTCCTGCCAGCGCACCTGCCTTCACGATAGCAACTTTTGCGTGTTGAAATTCTCGAGCGTTCGGTGGTCAGTGAATACCGTGAACTGAACGCCAAGCAAGTCTACTCACCACTTTTGTAGCGCCCGCACAATAGCGAGCAGCTCCTTCTCATGGGCTGGGTAGTTCTTTTGCGCTGAATTCAACTGTTGCAAGTCAAATGCGACCGGGCGAGCGCTCTCGAGAGTCTTCCCATAAGACAATACCGCACCAGTACACCAGTCGCTGGCATCGCACGACACAAAGATCTGGTTATTGCCCATGTTCTGGTGATCAATAACCGTCAGACATTCGTGAGACGTCACCAGCATCTTTACTGCCTGGAACACAGCATCGTGTTGGTCTGTCCATTTGAAATGGTGTTCCGCATCCTTCGTTGTGAGGTCGTTCAATACCAAGATATGTTGCACCAGCGCAGGCAGGAAGGAGGAGATATATCGTACAAGGCCCAGGAATATGTGTATGTCCGTTGCCGAACACGGATGAGGCCACGCCAATATCTTTGCCACCTTGTCGTTGTCGGCCTCGATTCTGGCCTGAGAGATCTTGTGACCTAGAAATCTCATTTCAACGCAAAACAGATCAGTCTTCTTCAGGAAACAGAACAACTGATGGTCATGTAGCGCAGACAATACCGTCTCCACATTCTTCCGGTGTTTCTCAAGCGATTATGACCAGATAACGATGTCGTCCATATACACATGGCAAATAGAGCCGATGTAGGGGCGCAAAGCCTGGAACATTTGACGTTGATGTGTCGCGGGAGCATTTTGGCAGCCCTGAGGCGTTACTGTCCATTCGTAGAGCCCGAACAGAGTAGTCACTGCCGTCAAGGGAATGTTGTCTGGATGAACACATGTCTGAAAGAAGGTGTTAGTCATGTCTATTTTTGCCCAGATAGTCCCTTTTCCGCAGTTGCTAAGGATCTCCGCAATGGAGGGCAGCAGATGCACTTCTGGCATGGTATTTGCATTCAATTGGCGATAGTCGTTCACCCAATGAGGCTTCGCTGACAGATCCGACTTCGGAATTAAAAACGCCAGGAACGCATAAGGGCTTGATGATGGACGCAGGTGCCCTGCATCTAGATGTTCTTGGAGCATCTCTTTGCAAACCTCGCGGTATTTCTTTGGACACTCATATATACGGCGTGCAATTGACATGTTTGCGTCCCGCAATTTGAAGCGGTAATAGACGTTCGATGGCAGCGTGTCTACATGAGGAATATCAGCAGGAAGTCAGTCTGTGAATTTGGCACGCATCGTCGTGTCCTCATCCTTCAACGACTGAAGAAACGCCAGTCACTCGAGCAGCTCAATGCTCGAGCAAATCGCTGCCACCGTGTTACCCTCGGTCATTGTATTACAGGCCAGCATTTGAGGGATATCCATCTTCAGCTCCCAGATCAGGGCGCGGTGTTGCTGCAATCGGAAATGTGATTCCTGTTGTGCTTCTTCGCGAGCCAATTGACGGCGCGCCTTGGGGGGTAATAGGTTCTGTATTATTTTCTCATTTGAAAGGTAAGACGTGGTCAGTAGCTCAAAACTGTTTCTCTTGTCAAGAACGATTTCTCCCCGCACATCAATCACGAGCCAGTTGTGCAACAAAAACATGTTGCCCAAAATAACCGGCACACAAAGCGAGGGTACAACAACTGCGGGAACGGTATCCAAAGTCCATGCTGAATTACAGGTTCGCACACGTAATCTGACAAATTCTGTCGCCATCACTCCTTTAGAGTTCAATGCATTCCCCAATGGGACTGGCTCAGCAAGTTTCAGGCGCTTCAGGCGCATCTTGGAGACAACATCATCCCTAATCAAAACTGAGGGAGCACCCGTATCGATCATCATTAGCATATCACCACCACAGCTAACTGAACTACCAAGAATCTGAAGGCAGGTTGTGACATGGGGGGCAGCGACAGCGTCATCAGTACATGGCACACGGGAAGCCGGAGGGGATGTAGTTGCACAAATATGACACACGCACCTTCCAGAAGAACAATCACTGTCAGAGTCCTCTCCAGAGTCCGTCCCATTTCCCATGATACTGGTAGTTGCCACGAGAGGCGACACAGACGTGATTGCTATGACCGCCATGCTTTCGACCTTCTCCACGTCGGTAGACACGGCAGCTACCGTACGGGACTTGCTCTGCTGAGAACACATCCTGTCAACGTCCACTTGAGTCAACACCTTATATCCTGTCGCATCCGGGAACCTGTTGGGGCATTCATGGGTGGTGTGATACACAAAGGGCTTGCGACATTTGAGACATCCGTGGTTGTCGTACAGGGGCTGATGTTCGTTGTCCGTGAGCTTGGGCAGTTTTGTGAAGGTCTTCTTGTTCATAGCACTAGCCACTGTTGACGAGGAGGTACCAGTATTGGTCTTGAAGCCTGAAGGTTGTCCATTCGACTTGACACGAGAGGCTGCCAACATCAGTTCGAGGTCCTTGATACACCGCTCGACTTCATTTAGCCTCTGTTGCCGTTCACGAACCCGTTTGTTACCCAAGCTGACAACAGAGTTCTTCCAGTCCAAGTAGTCATCTATACCCTGGTAGTCATCATCGTTGAGCGCCATTCGGATTTCTTCCACCACGTTTGCGGTCAACACTTCACGCATCGCGCCTTCATTCTTGTGCAAAGTGGTTCCGCGGAGACAGGAGTTGAGCTTTTCCATACTCACTACCCAGTCTTCAAAGCTTTCGTCCTCTCGTTGTTGATGACCCAGCAACTTGGTCACGAGCTTGTCCTCCCAGTTTTTTGGCAAGAAGCGCTGACATAACTTGCGAGTGAATTCGTCCCAAGACAACCCGTCTAAGGCATCTTGGTTGGTGAAATACCAATCACGCATAAGCGTGTCTTGGAGGCCACAAGCGGTTCACTTGACTCGCTCATTGTCGTGAATTTGCTTGGTCGCAAAGAACACACGACAGGCATTCTCGTAGTCCAGTACTAGCTCAAGGGTCAATTTGCCACTGAAGATCACTGGTGGCAGCTTAGGATTCGGATGAGAGATAATAGAAAGTGTGCGAGGATTCTTGTCGGACATTTCTTGAGACTCAGCATGAAAATGGAATTCAGAGGAGGACAAAGAGGCAGACGAATCAGATGCGGAGCTCGAGTTACTGGGAGGAGGATTGCTGCCGTTTGACGAAACAGATCGTGACAGAGATACTCGGGGTGAAGACGGAGAGATCAACGGAGGGACTGAGTAATAGACAGACAAAGATGAGACTTGCACAGGCACTGGATCCAGGAAGTTGTGAGTTGTTTCTGGCCCTGAACCTGTATTCGAGCCTTCAATGGAGGAATTTTCAGACTCAGGGGATCTGAGCTGGAACCAGGGAGTGGATATATATGGTGTAGGGTGACTATATGCGGTGAAATGACTGCTCCAAGCACTCATGTTGTCACTGGGGTTGGATTCTGATTCAGCTGGCGTCAACGGTGATATTTCCCTGCTCAATTGAGAGCGAAGGGGACAGTTTGCCTTCAATTTGGTGTTCTCCTCACGAGACGTGAAGAGCAAAAGGCGGGGAAACAGCTACAGTGGTGTACAAAGTTGAACTTGCGCAAAGTTCAAAAAAAGTGGAAACTGGCCATCTTGTAAGGCCGGAAACACTCATAATCGAACTGATACGTGAACTAGCACAAGACATCTTTGTTGTGGTGATAGTAAGAAGTCAATACGTGGGGAGGAACACATATGCGTAGTCTCGTACCTTCGTTGCGGTGATAGTAAGAAGTAAAGAACCGCAACGAGGTTTCGAACATGGTTATGTTATAGCGGAAAGTGAAAGCAGTCATGTGATGTACGTAGAAAAAAAACGTCCGAATCCAGAGAGACAGAGTTCGAGTCTGGGAGGATGCACAAGATGTGTAACCGAGCGCAATTACACTGGTATGTCTATTTTTTGTGTTGACCTTTGCTCATACCCTTCCGCAGGTGGCCATCACCCCTGGACACGATGTTTGTGCTCACATCAAGGCTGCCACCTTGAAGCACTGGCATGTGTACTTTGTACATCTCATTGTTGACTGCACCTACAATGATGAAGGCCAATGATGCGGCATGTCGATATTCACTATGGGTTGTCTCTTTGAGTGTTTGTAAGATCAGGTGCCCAGGCGTGAGTCATTTGCCTCATGTTCTTCATGCACTTTCGTCACATACTTTGCAGTCATCACACATCACTGCCTCGACCACCACAAGAATCCCAAGCTATACTTTGGTCTGCACGAACTTCGTCTTGTCATCCAGGCCGCCCTTCACAAGTCACAGCACGCCTTATCAGGAACTCGCGAGCACATAATTTAATTTTGCACACAAATCAGTCTTATTTATTTTACCGCTCTTCGTAGCTCAAGCCTTGCTCCAACCGATCCCAGAAGCCGGGACGCTGGCAATGTGCATGCCTACCACACGGTACATTCATCATGTCGCTCACCGCCATTCAATAGTACCAGACAGTTGCAAACTTCACTATATTCAAGAACACCATCAAACGTGGCTTTGAAACATGGATGCAAGTCAAAACCAGCCTCTTCAAGGTAACAACCATATTTCTGCCCCTCTCACCTCAGCTTATCTTTTTACCACCCCGTCCAGAACAACTTCCAGACCACCAGACAAACATGCATTGTCCAGCCTGGACTTACTTTTTACAGGACAAACACCAATGTGCACCCCTTGCCTATCACAGTGAAGTTAATGCATCAAGCGTAAACCCCGTATCAAGTGGCCTTCATTTCGTCCCCAGAACGCGGAGATTGAATCGACATAGTCATAAATTGTACCATCTGTGCTAGGTATTCATTGATCTCGGAATGAGTGTCGTACTTAAGGGCAAAAGTATACTCTCTGTCAGGGAGTCGAACCCTGCTTTCGCGCGATCTCCGAGGTCCTAGGACCCCGGAAAGTGACAGGCGCGTGTACTAACCGATATACTAACAGAGACTTGCTGAAATACGAGGCTGCAGATACATGTACGGTAAGCGAATCAGTAGTCATGTTGCCGTTCATTTTTCCAAGGACATTCATCGTTTTGTGCACCACGTTCACAACACCGGTGGAACAATTTGTGGCCCCACGGAGTCAGTAGCTTCATCTGGCTTTTTATCTTCTCCCGCATAAACGCACAAGTTGGACGTGGTTACAGCTCTGCCATCTCGCACTGAATGACCGTGTTGATGGCCACGAAAGCCGAAGTTCGGGGAGGAAGACCCAGAGGTGACAGGCGCGTGTACTAACAGATATTCTACCAGGGATTGAAATATACTTTCCGCCTCTGTTGTATATAGTGTCCCATCGGGATTCCTGAATGCCAGAGTTGTTCTGATATGTGAACCAAAAGGTGTCTTGAAAGTTTCGGAATTACCGATACAAGTTTTGTTTCGCATTCAGGAGCTTCCAGGATGATGCTTATGGTCAACTCATGGGTATTCGTCATAGAGCCACAAAGATGTGCTCATGCAGTGAACCAGGCCGATACGTTTTAGCAGTACAAGTACTGAAGATTTACTTCAAGTTGACAATGTCCTGCACGGTACAAACTATGAGCATGCATTCGTACTCGCGATGGTACTGGACAAGTTCCACTGATACCACGTCGACAAGTTGCTCGAAACTGCTTGGTAAGCATGTACGGGTCTACAAGCAGGCCTCCATGCACTCGCGCATCCCCTTTCTTACTGGGTGCTGAAGGTATGTTCAGTGGTTACGGCTTTCGTTGATGCATGCCACGACGTTACATATATCGGTCTGCCACCCAAATTTCTGCGAATTATTGAAGCAATCGATCGCTTTGTTACTCGGAGGACAATTGACATGCGTGACGAGAGACAAGTGCTCCAATGCATCAAAGAGAGCACACGAACCTGCCGTAGGACGAGCGAAACCCTTTCAGATAGCAAGCAACCTGCTCGTCATGACATATTTCGTATTTCATTGACATTGGGCACTGCTCACGTCCGTCATAAATCTGGGCTGCCCGGACAGCGGATGGAAGACGGCACAGGTCCCGCATCGGTGATCAAAGTCACTCTCTAGCTCGCTGTGCAGGCTAGACCACGTTCAAGCATACATCAAGGCGATCGCCCTCCTGTGTCTCCTAGCACTCGCCACCTCGCTAGCCGGCGGCGCCTCAGTGGCGTATACGGACCCGGACTACGATGCCAGTTGTCGGCGCTCAATGTACGCGTAACGTTCGACGTCCACTGCTCAGTCAAGGATCGGGACTCGACTTGCGATCATGCTGAGGTAGGTTCCCGCCTAAGAAAAGCCCGTGGCCTGACTGGGCGCGCTGCTTGCTGGGTCTCCCGGGTCTTGAAGTCTGATTGCCATTTGTTATGATAGCCACTGATAACTGGCTACGTACCCGCGAAATCAGCCCCCGAACATGACGGCGACTACAGGTGCTCCCCGACAACGCCAACGCCGCACACGGGCATCACTTCAGCAACTGTCGCCTGCTCACAATGACAAGAACGTCAACAATGGGTTCAACACCAAATGATAAGATATACGCAAAACAGTACACTCAAACCGTCTACCGCCCAAACTTCTTGAGGGGATCAGACTTTTTCTTCCCACCCCGCCCCGAGCTCCCACCCCGCCCCGAGCTCCCGCCTCGCCCGCCCCTGCCACGACCCCTTCCACGCCCACGTCCTCGCGCAGAGTTTTTGTTGAATGGCACGAATCCGGCGTCACCATTCGGAGCATTGACATCGGCCGCGACTTCCGTCCCTGGTACAGGGGCGATTCGGGGGAGCAAGTACTTCGGGACGTGCTTCATGTGCGGCTGCACACGCGTGGGATGCAGTGGCTTGTCGTGGCGGAGGTAATCCAGATCATTCGGATTGTCCTCAAAGTGAGCCTACACATCGCTATCAGCGACCCGCGCGCGATAGAAGAGAGGGGGAATTCGCACCTTGAGTTTATCCGAGTTCAAGATCTCCGACTTGAGCTCCTTGATCCGCGCCTCCTTGATCGCGCTCCGGGTCACCGCGCGCAGCGCGTCCTCCATGCGGTAGCGGAACGCCTCGACCTGCTTCATGTCGAACTGGTACTCTTTCATCTGGCTCCCGCGCGCAGCCTGCTCCTTCTCGATCCGCGCAAACACACGCTCGTCGCGCCGCGTGCTCTCCACGCCTCCAACAACCTTGTTCTTGCCCCATTCCTCGCGGGGCACGACAAACGAGAGCGCCATGCCCGAGCGTCCCGCCCGCGCAGTGCGCCCGACACGGTGTGTGTACGCGCGCGACGAGCTCGGAAGGTCAAAGTTGATCACGCATGAGACGTCGATAAAATCCACGCCGCGCGAGACACCGTACTCGGCGTCGGGGGCGCCCTTGCGTCGCTTTTTCTTCCCGGACTTGGCCGCAGAGACGTCGGGTGGCGGTGTGCCGGCCTTGCGTTTGCGCTTGTGCGACGAGCTACTCGCGGCGGGCTCGGCAGCATCATCTTCTGCTTCTGGTCGGCGCTGCGTGTCCACAACTGCGGTGTACCGTCAGTACATCGTCGTAATCATAAAGGATAAGAGACTCACACTCTTCGTCCTCTTCTACCTCCGCCGCCTCCACTTCCGCCTCCTCTTCGCCATCCGAATCCTGCTTAATCCGTCCCGCGCTCTCGTCCGACGCAATAATATAGTCGTATACGCCCTTGTTGAACTCTTGCACAGTGTGATAGCGCGAGTTGAGCGGCAGCTCCGAGTTGAGCACGCAGCTTTTTATCGAGAATTGCTCCAGGAAGAGCTTGAGTCGATAGCACCGGTCGACGTCGTTCACAAAGAGGATGCATTTGCCCTTGATGAGCTTCAGTTTGAGGATGACGTACGCGAGCAGGAACTTGTCGACTTCCGAACACCGGACGGAGTACTGCGTGAGATTTGCAGCTTCGTCCTCGTCTTCCTCGAGTTTGAGAATAGCCTATGGTCCTCATATCAGTCACTCGATCCAAGTAACAGATCGATCAGACGAACAGGATTCCGCAGAACGAGGCCCTTCAATGCTTCAACGTCATCGGTCATGGTAGCACTCATTAGGAAGGACTGGAAGACTTTTGGTAGGTATCCTCCCCCAAAGATCTGTCTGACATCTTCATCGTGGCCGTATGAAAGGATCAAGTCGGCCTCGTCAATGACAAGGGATTCTACGGAGCTCAGTGACAACGTCTGTAAAACTGTCAGCCAACAGGGCTGTGACTCGTAAGGTAACAACTTGCCTTGGATTGTAACAAGGAGAGTCCACGAGATGGTGTTGCGACAATGATATCGGGGCTATCAGACAGGAGGACTCTAGCAAAGAATAGATGTTGGAACAGAACAGACAGAGACGGAGAAGACGAAGACGTACTTTTGCAGATGAGACGTTGTTCCTCCAGAGACGTTCGCAACAGTCACGTCTTTGTCGCAGTACGCAAGCAGTCCTCGTAGGTGCGCAGAGACCTGTTCTGCCAATTCACGTGTGGGTACGAGAATGAGGCCGCGGGTGGCTTGCCTTGCGGGGTCTTCTTCAGGGAGATTCTGCGAAGATTGTGGTCAATATACCATCTGATGGAACGAACACTATCAAGGACGTCGGGAGCCTCTCAAAAACCATCCCACAATGGCATAGCAGCAAGAAAACATGAGCTAGAGAGGTCCCCTTGGAGGGCTCCTGCAAGCTTGCCACTGCCGCCGGAGCCGCTCAAAGGAGGCATTACCCACAGATTTCGCATTGAGAATCTTCTGCACCACCGGTATGCAGTATGAGGCTGTCTTTCCACTTCCAGTGCGGGCCCTAGCCAGAATGTCGCGGTTCTCGAGAGCTAGCGGGATGGCTTTTGTTTGAACCAAGGTTGGCCGGGCAAAGCCCATGTCGGCAAGAGCGCGTAGCAATCGGGCATCGACGATGTGTGCGAAAGAAGTGAACGTTGCTTTTGAGTCTACTAGACGTGCGTCGGGCATTTTGAAGAGATGGTTTTCCAAGCCGGAGGATGGACTCGGACGGAAAAAGGACCAACCCGTATATGGCAACTTGATGGCAAACAAGCGCCCGTCGCTCAGTAGAGCCTGGCGGAGCGCTGACATTTCCATCAACCACCTCTCCCTCAGGTCTCTGATCACGTCGATACCCATCTAATCATGTCGAAAATGCAATGGAAGCTGTTTCAATACTATATAGCTCATCTGGTATGCCCTCAGCAGCCTCTACTCTCACAAAGTGTGACATGGTTCATTTCCAGGCTCCAAAACGCTGTTGAGGGCCGCACTGCACGCGAGGCGGATATTGATACGTATACGAAATGTACACGTCATTCGGAATATGTGTACTGGTACTGGGTGAGCGGGAAGTCTGGTCTTTGTAGGTTTGGCTCGCATATATTGCAATCACAGCTGCCATAGTACTCGGCCTCGCTTTCGACTTGAGGTATTTAGCCCCCTATCCAGAAATCACCGCTATACATTGCGAGAGACACGAAATGCTTATAAACCAGTATATACTAACTCCGAAAATTGGCATGCATCAGTCAAGCCCAGACCAAGTATATGCACTGCTGGGCTTCCTGCTAATCTTTTTCTCGTTCCTTCACGAGGGCTTCTAAGAGCCACAGTAATTTTCCGTTGATGAATACATGCAGACCCTACAATCATGGCAAGGCTTCCTTCCGTTTCGTGCTCTTCGAAACATTTTGAAGTTGCACATACACCGGACCGATATATATAGGACGCAAAACGGCAGGAAAAAAGGCATCACTACATCTACACCAGACAGAAAGCCGACTTTATACAGCAACTGGTCATGTGTTTTAAATTAACTGGTTTGCCATTTCGGTCAATAGCATTCCACTCACGGTAGCATATTGTCGATAGCAGAAGTATACATGTAACTCGTGCGTCAAACGGCTTAGATTGCAAACTACCATTTGGCCGACCAGTCACGGTGACGGTGTGGGTACTTGTGGAAGACGATGTC